ACAGATTCACCTGCGCAGTAAATGTCTGCTCATCTTTGTATGTATGTGTGTGTAAGGTCGGATGCAAATTATCAAAAGAGGTCACGGGACGCATCACACACTGGCGGGAGGATTGGTTATAAAACCGTCCCAGCCATCTTCGTCTGGGCGGCTGAAAAACACTTTGCAAAACCATCTAGTGTACCTTACCCACCCGTCAACAGGTGAGCTATAGAGTGATCCAGTATTAATGCACTCAAACTCCCAAAGGATTCATTAGAAAATCAAACGTCATCAACTCTTCTCAGATGCATTAGTTGTTTGAGATGACGGCACTTAACCACACTTTATTTTTTCGTGTCACTCCCCTGTTTCCGTTTCTTCCTCTTCCTCTGGTGACATGTGGTGCAGTTATCGACCCGGTGAAGCCTTTCAAAATTAGTTTAAGTTTTTCCGTATCAGGAAGTATTATTAACTATCAATAGTTTCTATCAAAAGTTTCTACTTTGCGAATTATTCTTTTTGACCAATCCTTGTGTAGATCAGATTCATATTGTCCACTTCCATTATTGATAATTATGCAATTGTACCAGTAAAATTGTATTGTAATTGTAATCATAACTTCTGAAGGCATAAAGCCTACATTTCAGTCAAAAATTTACAAATTGCAGAGAGGGAAAAAGTAAAAATTTAAAATCCAAAAACTGTTAACAAACTCCGTGAAAAAGTGTTCTTTGTTAACTAGAATACGTGCTAAAGAGGATACTGTAGAGTTACGATATATGTTTATGCGAGATGAAACACAACGATGTTGGGATGTAGTTGACGGATGCGAACGCTAGGAAATTAAATTTTTGTGTGCAGCTGATGTGTGGCGTCAATAAGAATCTTAGGTGTAAGCTTTTCACGTGCATTCAAATGAAGTTCACACAGGTTAGTTATCAACTGTTCCAGCGGTGTTGAAGAGACGCGGCTAATGATGATCAGTCCACGGTGGAGCAGTTTAAAATCTTTCTTTCGGAGATTGGTAAAAACGGCAGGTGAACAATAAAGTAAAACGGGAAAAGCATGCAGGTAAACGAATTTGGAGATAATCAATTAATGAATACGAAACTGCTGAAGTTTATGGAGATGGAAAGAAAGTTGACAAGGTTTAGTGACGATATGTTTAATGCGAGAGGATCAATGATGATCATGATCGCTAAAACTCTCAGGTATTTGATATAGCTCAATCGGGGACACTGGTTCAGAGATAACCAATACCGGTTCAGATGGGAAAGAAAAGCGTGGTAACGTATAGAGACATTCGAAACATATGGAGCGAATGAAGGGAGAGATTGTATGTGGAGGAAAATTGCTGAACGTTTTCCAAGATGACAGAAAACTATAAAAGACTGGAGGAATAGGAGATAGTATGACAAAACCACATCATCAGCGTATTTGAAGAGTGAGGTAGAAGCGTTAGCAGACAAGTCGCTAATCTACATAGAAAATCAGTATGTGAAAAGGACTGCGCCTTGGAGTATGGGGAGGGGGGAAGATTCCCTTGAAGGTGATGAGGACCAATGCACAGGGACACCTCAAAGGAGGCTTGTCCGAATACGAAGAGATAAATACAAAACTGTTGGAGAAGTATACCCGTGGAGTTAAATAATGTGAGTAACCTGATAAAAGATATCCCGTTATGAATACCTGACTGGTGACAACAAATTGTAAGCCAATCATGTGACTACGGCGGCACGACAGGGGGGGGGGGCGAAAGCGGGGCTGATTCCGTCCAGCTACTCAAAATTCAGAGCCATCAGAAGTGAACTTCCAGGGCCGGTGTGGTTTACTCGATTGATACTTCATATCCAGTTAAATTGGAAAACCCTGCTTTGTAAACCAATAGCTGAAAGTACGAATATTTTGCTCAGCAGAATGTACGGAAAATGAGAAAACCTGAGATGTGACTGAGACAAGCAGAAACATGAGGACTGAGTTATGTCGATGTGCAACGCGCGGATTTTCATCTTCAGTCGAAACTTGTTTTCTTTGCCACAGGCAAGCAGTCAGAGTAACTCATTTAAATAAAGGGCGCTATCATCGATCAGGTAACGGTGATTTTTCGCTTTCCGCATAATCGACACAATTCATGCTCAGATTCGTCGCATACCATGTGTGATTGTGCATTCCGTTCCGCATTTGTATTTTCTCTCTCACTCAGCTTGCTGACCCCAGCTATCTGGTCGTTCTCAATGGAAGCCGACCTTTCGTAGTCGAGAAGCGTCGGTTTCTAATGGAAGCAAATCTGATTGGCATCGATGTTCAATTGAATCAAACAACCGGAACCAACGAGACAATACCACGGTTCCGGATTCAAATGAAGGACAAAAGTACCGGCAAGATTTCCCAATCATTGGATTGGCGTGTGAGTAAACAACCCGTGTCTCAATCGATTTACAATCTGTCCCCAGGCGTATAACGGTCACAGAGTTTTGTACCAGTTTGGGCAAAGTTTCAAAGCTCTTCTGTACGCAAATGGGATTTCCTTTTCAGTCAATCTTTAGGTTATGCACATAATTTGTTTTGAACAAATGGATCACCTCAATCCTCTTTTTTAAAGTGACAAAAACAATCCACTGTCTCAAAAATCATTGACTTCATTCATTTCCTTTTACAAATCGAAACTGATGCAACGAATTTCAAGGAAACAGTCTACTTTTTTGAAAAAAAATCGTTTAGGTATTAAATCAAACATTGTTGATAAATAAGGCACGACAAGGCTTTTGAGCAATCATCTATGTGGTTGGTGTTTGTTAAGCGGATGGATTCTCTTGAACTTTAGTCGATAAGCGTTTTAACCCCACTGGTAGCCCTGGATAACGACGATACGTGAGCCAAAAAGGGAGTAAAGAATGAAATTTATTACCACCAAAGTAAGGCTAATGAAAAATTATCGGATTGTCAAATGAAGTTGTTTCATCGTCATTTCATATTGTCCCAGTGTCGCAACTTTGGAATAGTCCACTCGATCGTTCACATGTATCGGGTACTGTTGATGGTCTTGAGAGTGGCTTTAATTTCTTGAGAGATCGTGAATTTAACACTAGTTGAATGCGTTTTCAAGCGATAGAAAGATTTGTGATGACCAACAAAGAGCACTGGACAGCCGTTTCGTCTTGTTTGGGACTGATCAGCAATGCGTACCTTTTGTGTCCCTGTCAGAACTCTAACCACGAACATTCCGGTCGGGACTTCAAAGCTACACGGTCGATTATTCCGAATTTGCCTCTCTTAATTAATTGAACCATTCGTACAAGGCGATGGTTGTCTGCCGTTTAGCTCAGGGCTAAGGGTCTGAAGTTCCAACCCAAATGTTCACGGTTCGAGTTCCGACTGGGACACAAAAGTAAGCATTGCTGATCAGTCCCAAACAGGACGAAACAACTGTCCTGTGCTCTCTGTTGATCATCACAAATCTTTCCATCGAGTATCTCAGTGTTATTTTCAACCGTCTTGTTGGCTTCACCAGGTGTATCAAGCTCACATAGTATTTAAGCCTCAGGGCAATGTCTAAGTGATCAGTTTTATCACAGATAACACAACCGCTTGTTGAAGCGCCCGGAGGAGGGTGTTTTGACCTATCTCAGTCACTCATGCCCCAAGTCCCATAGCCTATCTCGATCGTTTACCTTACACTGTTTTATTACTGACCTTAGTATGATGAACAGCAGACTGGAAAAGCCTCATAGTCACGAGAACCTGCTGTTCAGTGATGGGAACCGGTACTTAATTCCCAGGACTTGGAGTGGCGAAACTCGTAGGGCACCGCTACGTTAAGGGTGGTATTGAACCGGACGACACGACAGCTGCCTACCACCAAAGTTGGGTGACGGTGGGGGGGGGGGTNGAAACGTGGACCATAGATGACAGCGACTAAACCATTGCGTCACCACCAACCCAAACGCTGACTCCCGCGCCGGGAGTCGAACCCGTTTCGCCTGAGTGAAGGCCAGGAATCCTTACCGCTAGACCATGCGCACTTATCCATGCGTTTCTCATCTCCCCGTGATTAGCCAGATTAGACCATGTTCCGCTGGTGCCAGTTGATCATGCTTGGTTGATATAGGCCCGACTTGTACCCAACTTCCGATCCTGTAAATATGCTCCTTGCAGATCCCAGTCATTCACTCTCTGCGTTGGCGTCGTAGAAAATTTTTTACCCTTCTATAGTACCGCAGAATCCAAGTAGCTACTTTGATCAAATATCTGGGAGGAGATATAATAGCTCTATCAAACAAACTGTGATTGAAATAGCGTAATTAGAGCTCTCAAAATATCCCATAACTTAGGCATTTATATGGAATCTCGAGTTCGAGCAATGAAATGTTTTTTTTGCAATTTTCTGAATTCGATTCTCTATGTCGTAAAAATAACAAGATTCCATTGAGTTACTCGCCCTCCACATCTGTCTATCACATAAGATGAGTCATGTCGGCTTCTGGCCTTGTTGTGACACTCCCACTTAGCTATTATGAACTGAATTCGNNNCCCCCCCCGCCCTCCCTCCCTCGCAAATAAAGCTAGTAGTTTTCTCGCTTCACAGTTTAAGGCGCACAAAGTGTAGTCCTTATTACCTTATCTTTTCTTCATCACGTGATACACTTTGCCTCCGCTGTCCAATTTGCGAACAGCCCATTGATTTCTCTTTGTTTAAAACGAAAAAAAAAAAACAAATTGTCGATCACATTAAACTCCGAACTTAGATATTGATTGACTTTATTCATACAAATGCCTCTCCTATGTGTGCAGAATTTTACGTGGAAATTAGCTGCCGGGATCTGCGATAAGTTGA